TTGTTCATCACAGAATAATAATCAAAAACACCTTTGATTTTACAGTCCTAATAACTAATTAAAGTCTTTGAATATTTATTCGTAGATTTAGAAATAAGTGCTGACACAAACATTTAGGTACATAGTTGAAATGAACGTTTTATGTATTAGCGATTGATGTATTAGGCTTATTTCCATTTATTAAAAACATATCTATCTTTTATAAGAATAATGATAATAAGAAATGGTGATAATAGGAGAGTTTACATGTAATCTGGATAAAAGTGATTTTTGTTTGAATCTAAGAGATATTCTTATCATTTATATTAAAGTCTATGGTCTATTTCACAACATGGACTTTTGTTATTATGTGGCAAAATCTTCAATTTCTTATATGTATATATTGAGATATGACTTACATTATTTCTACAAACGATAAATAAGATGCCCGCGCATCTGCGCAGGCTTCCTTTCCAGTTAAGCTTAACATTTGCATAGAACCATAATACTCCATCTGTTTCATAATATAAGTCATTCTAGCATTTCCCACATTCATATTGATATTAATGAATCTAGATAGATATATATATGTCTAGATTCATTAAAATCAATATGAATGTGAGAAATGCTAGAATGACTTACATTGTGAAACGGATGAAGTAGTAATAAAGGGCTCAGACAAGGGGACCACTCTCTCCTTTTCTGTTCAATATGGTGGTTCATTCCCAAGCCAAAATTAGTCCACTCCACTCAATACTATAGGCTATTCACGGGTTTAATTACGGGTTTATTAGTTCCATCTGGTAGAAAAGGGGTTAACATATTATAAATATGCAGCTGCTAAGTGGTTTAATTAGGTCCAAATCTGAACGAGAACATATAGCTTTTCTATTATATGCAGATGGTACTATCATTTCCCTTGATCATGACGAGGGTGCTAGATATGTGATTTTTTTTCTCGAACACGCAACATAGTTGCACGTCATTTCATCAAGAAGAAAGAAAGTTTACAAAGGAAAGATAGTTGCACGTAGGGGTGAAAACGGTCCGGAAACTTTCCAGATTCCGAACCTATTTTCGAAAACAGAATCTGTCGATCGGAATTTTTTCAGAATTTTTCGGAAACGGAAACAAATTTGGAAATATTTTCTTAGAAACGGAATCAAAAATGTTAAGGGCAGTTTCCGTTGGAACTCGGAATCGTTTGGAAACTTTCCGGAATTTTTTTCGGAATTTCCGGAATTTTTCTCGGAATTTCCATAAATCACAAAATATACCTTGAATTCTTTTTTTTTAAGCACTGAATAGTGAATACCACGGTATTTGGTTGTTATTTTTTAAAAAATATTTGTTATGCAAATCTAAAATTACATATGAATATTTTTTTTGATGCATTGGGATTTATCAACAGTATTATTAATTTATTCCATAGATTGTGTTTTATGATATACTATTGATACTTAATTGGATTTATATGATTGTGTTTTATGATGAATTATTGACCGTTTAGACTTGAGAATTGGATTTACCAGTTTGAGGGGTTTTTTTATTCCGATAAATTTTTGTTACCGTATTCGCGCCGGTTCGTTTTCGCTCCGTTTTCGGTTTCGATAATATTCGATTCCGTTTTTGTATCCGGGGTTTCTGATTCCGAAAAAAATATAAAAACAAAAACAATAAAGATGATTTCCGTCCGTTTCCGTTCCGTTCTCACCCCTATTGCACGTCATCCCCCCCCCCCCCCCCAAAGACAAAAGAAACGTGAAAATCTTAATAAGTGCATATGAGTCCCAGTTGGAGCTGGTAGGATTTTATTTTTAAAAAGGTAAAAATAAAATGAGAAAAGACTAGCAGACTGGAAAAAGAAATTGCTTATCCATATATAGGGCGAGAACAATCCTCATGACTGCTTGCATAACTAACAGTTGGTGGTTATGCAGAAAATATCACAGTTCCTTTGCCACGATGGTCGATGGCAGCTCTAAGAAGAAATATCACATAATCAAATGCGGTTCAAGTCTCCAAGTATTAGGGCATCTCCAAGAGAATGCTAAACAGGTTACTAAAACATAAATTTTAGGAATTTGGTGAAAATCAGCCCTCCAACAGACTCCTAAACATGGTCCCAAAATTTAGCCACCTCCAAAACCAGGACCAACCTGAACCAAATATTGGGCAACTAGAAGCGCTCCCAATCGAAGCAATCGTTCCTGCCCGCGCCGTTTTTTCTTTTCCTGGCGCCAATTTTTTTCCTCGCCCGCGCTTTCCCTCAACCACCGTCTCTTCGTTCGCCGGGAGGAGCCGCGCCTTTCTTCCCCTCCTCGCGCCAGCTTCCTCTCCTCGCGCCAACTCCGTTCAGGGCGCCGCCAGCCGTCCGTCCGTCCGGGACGCCGCAGGTTCTCCAAGGCGTCGCCGGCCCTCCGTCCAGGGCGCCGCCGGCAGCCCATCTAGGTCGCTGCCGCCCCTCCGTCCAGGGCGTCGCCGGCAGCCCATCTAGGTCGCTGCCGCCCCTCCGTCCAGAGCGCTAGCGGCCTCCGTCCAAGTCACCATCGACTGTCAATCCAGGGACCGTCGGCAGTCTGTGCCCCTTCGTCCACCTCGCCTCTCAACGACGTGAGTTGCTACTGGATTTGTTTGAGGTAATTTCAGAGTAACAACTCATTTATTTTCTGCTTCTCTCCATGGATCTAACTCTCTTTGTGTTCAATTGAGGTTGACTCACTGATATTATCCCCATTGATATCCTAGTACTGACAAGGTCCTTATGTGTATTTCTTTGTTTTCGTTGATACAAGTCTTAGATGAATATGTCCAAAATAGTCTTCACAAGTTGCTAACAGACCATATTCTTCTCACCCTAAAGTTCTATTGAAGTCCACTTAATTGTACTAAAACTATTTTATTCAAGAAGACAAATGGGACATGCTAGTTTCATATTCTACTGAAGATTTTATTTCTTTACTGGTATAGTTGAGGTTTTTTCCCCTGAACTAGTATAAGTTTTTTTTTCCCTAAACTGCTATAGTTAAGTTTTTTTTTCACTGAACTGCTTTGCTTTGAATGTTGTATTCATAAAAGTCAGTATCACACTGCACTGAGGCCTAATCTGAGGTATGTTTCCATTGACCAGTTCCATCTGTTGTGTGTCATATGCTTGTGCCCACTTTTACTTCTATCATGATTAAGGTCAAAATTAAGGTCGAAATTTTTTTGAACAATGTTAGTATATTTTAGATCTTCAGGTGTGGCATGCTATCTGCCATGGTGCATGTGCACTTAAGTCAGCACACCACCTGAAAGGCTGCTGTCTACAAATCTAAAATATTATATCAAACGAAAAATCTGAATAGCATCTATCATCTTGTTTTTTTAGGCAGACAGACAACATTGCATTGCTTAGATAGACATGTAAACAAAATAATCATCTTCCATTTAACATACATGATGGAGATAATTGCTTGTAGGTCCTACTGATAATGGAAGAAGAAGGATTCTATACTAATTTGATGAATGAGGGGAACGATTCCTTAGATTGGGATAGTTTGAGTACGATGCCTGTGGAGGATGATATGAGTAACCAGCTTGATGAGAATGGCATGAGTAGCGAGCCTGTCACGCAACAGTTCCCCACTATTGAGAGGACTACCGTGGCTAGACCAAATCAAAAAAGATCGAAGAATTTTAGTGAACAAGAAGATAAGATACTTGTGTCGGCGTGGTTGCATGTAAGTTTGGATCCAGTGCTAGGCACAAATCAAACTCGTGCTGCATATTGGACTAGAATATACGAGCACTTATACAAAACGAGTAAATCCACACCAGATCGCAGCCAGAATTCACTTATGCATCGTTGGAAAACTATACAAGAGAATGTCAACAAGTTTTGTGGATATCTGAGCCAGATTGAGGGTAGAAGACAAAGCGGGGTTAGTATACACGACAAGGTACTACATAGTTATGTAGCTTGTGTTTTTATGTTAGTTTATAAATAAAAGATATGATGTTTGCTAACCACATTCACTTGACTTGACATGTGCAGATTGCTCAGGCCATTGTTGTATTTAAGGAGTTGGAAGATAAGCCCTTCCAATTCCTGCACTGTTGGACTCTCTTGAGGTCACAATCCAAGTGGCATGATAAGATGAAGCAAATAACATCCCAAAAACCCTGTGCCACCAAAAAACAGAAGGCAAGCACAGATGGTTTGGGAAAAGCTATACCCACAAATGATGATACTACCAATCATGTTGATGAAGATAATGAACCTACAGAGACCGAAGAGCCGAAGATCAAATACCTTGCTGCATGATCAACTGATCCATGTGAGTGCATATTCAATTTCAGTTTGAATGATAGGTTACTGAATCCATATTTTCGACAGTGATCAGTCAAAAAAATCACTTGCAGTACTAGCTAGCTTCAATTATTGTTTACAGTACAAACATATAGGTAGCTTCAAATATTGTACATTACTAATTAAAATAGACTAGAAAACTTGGCAGCTCTATACTCTGTACATGTATTATGGTTAATTCGAACTCCATCTTATTGCTATCAACAGGGAAGCCACCTCGCTGAGACCTTCGTACATGTGAAGAAGCAACTGAACAAATTGTGACCAGATCAGAGAATGGGAGGGAAAGAGATGGCAATCGTAGCTGCAGTTTAGATCAGTGGTTTGTTAGAAATTTATCTAGATTTACTAAGTCTGCAATGCAAACTATTTATATTCAGAATTGTGTCTTTTTGTTTTGTCCGAAGTTGGTGTTAGTAGATGGGTACTTCCCTTATCATGCCCTTGGTGTTAGTCTGTGTAATGAATCAGACTTTATGAGAGCCTGATGTTGCTATTGACCTGTGGTAATCTGTATTGTCTCTCACTGAGAGCCTGATGTTTGATTGTTTCCTGGCATGATTGAAAAGCTTCTGGGGCCTCTACCTCATCTGTGGCTTTTCATGATTGACAGGAAGACCACATGACATATTTATCACTGCCAGCCGACATATTCAACAAAATGCATAAAGGAAGTGCACTTTTATTAATTCTCCTGTACTATTCTTAAACCGAACAGTACACCATTTATTCAATACATGAAGAACAAATTAAAATGATTTTGCAAATCCTCACATATGTATACTATTTATTACATGGAATTCAAACATATAAATAAAACCTCAATATTTATCAGGATAATGTTGCCACAAGTGCTCCACTAGGTCTTCACGTAGCTGATAGTGAGTTTCGTCGTCCCTTATTTTTTTGTGCATCTGGATAAAATCATCAAGATCAGGTATTTCATCGTGGGACACTCTGACATTTTCTCCTCCCTCTGGGAACCGTTCTTCCCAATCAACTTCTCCCTCATCTTCAATAATCATGTTATGCATGATAACACAAGCTTTCATGATGTATCCCAGAGTCTTTTCATCCCAATGTCGAGCTGGCCCTCGAACAATGGCAAATCGAGCTTGCAGAACCCCAAAAGCTCGTTCGACATCCTTCCTTACTGCTTCCTGTGCTTTGGCAAAATATTTCCTCTTGTTGCCATGTGGTTCTGGTATGGTCTTCACAAATGTGGCCCAAGAAGGATATATGCCATCAGCAAGATAATATCCCATCATATAATCGTGTCCATTTATACTATAGTTCACTTCAGGAGCCTTGCCTTCAGCTAGCTTTGCAAATAGCGGGGATCGATGAAGTACATTGATATCGTTATGAGACCCAGGCATACCAAAAAAAGCGTGCCAAATCCAGAGATCCTTTGAAGCAACGGCTTCTAAAATTATTGTAGGCTCGTGCACGTGCCCTTGGTACATACCGTGCAATTCTGTAGGGCAGTTCTTCCACTTCCAATGCATGCAATCTATGGAGCCTAACATACCGGGGAAACCTCTGTCCTCCCCAAGTTCAAGTAATCGAGTTGTATCGTTCTCATTGGGTGATCTTAAGTATTCATGTTCAAAAACTTGTACAACTGCTTTCACAAACCTTCTCAGGCTCTCTATAGCGGTACTTTCTGCAATACCGAGATATTCATCCAAAGCATCTGCTGCTATACCATAAGCCAACTGACGCATTGCTGCAGTGACCTTTTGGTGACAACTGAACCCAATTAAACCAGCTGCATTTCTCTTCTGCACAAAATAGTCATCGTGATCCTCTATTGCATTCATTATGCGGAGAAACAGAGGCCTGCTCATTCTATTCCTGCGAATCATAACTAATGAGACATGCATATCTATGCATATAACAAAAATAAATTATATAAAATTTACTTATACAAACCTGCGCCTGAATAAAACTGGGCCATAGGTAGGATTATTGGAAAAGTAGTCTTGGTATAATCTCAAGTGCCGTGCTTCTCTGTTGCGATCAATCACTTCATGTCCCATGACTGACCCACCATGTCTTGGTGCATTGACAGAGTGCCAATAGCTATGGACGATTTGTGCCGTGGCAAAAAAAAAATCATCGTCATCGTCAGACGATGATTCATCCACGAGCTGTTGAAACGAGGAGCGAGGTCGACTCATCTTGGATCAAATCAACTGCCAAACCATTATTCATCACAATAAATTAAGTTTTTCCCCTTGCGACGTTGTCAGATCAAATTAAAAAAAATGTGATTGGCCTTCCGTTTTTCCAAATATTTATTCATCATATCAAATTAAGTTTTTTTTCCATCAAGACATTGTCAGATCAGAAACATAAAAAAAGGAAATAGAACAAAGTAAAAAACTTGGTTGCTAGCAAAATTTTGCTACTCACGCACTGCACAAGAGCTTGTGCCTGTCACCAATCGTTGCTGCTTGCTGCAGTTGCCTGATTAAGTGAGGTGCTAACGTCGCCGGCCCTGACAGAGGAAGAGCTCTGATTGAGTGAAGTGCTAACGCCGCCGGCGCTGACAGAGGAAGAGCTCTATGTGCGTCTATAGCACTGTGTCCTTCGATCAATTTCGTATATCGCTGCGTCTGATATATAACCTCGCCAACGGTATCAGTTGCGATCTCGCGCGCGACTAGGATGAGCAGCCATCTCCTTCCGTCCGCGTGCGTCGCGTCGACCATGCCCATTCCCCTCCGCATCCGCACGCCGCGATCTCCTCCTCGCCTCTCACGCGCGACGCGATCTCCCCCTCCGCTCTCGCCTGTGATTTTAACGAGCAGGTAGAAAATTAGTTGGGAAGGGCCCACTAATGATGATGTGGAAAAATTTTAAATTTTTGGGAACCAAATTTTAGTCATCTATTGGAGAAGAGGGTGTATTTTAGGCTAAATATGTTTTTGGCTGTCCCCAATACAGGATTTTTGGGAGTTTAATTTTAGTCATCTATTGGAGATGCTCTTAGAGGTCTAGAAGTTGGTGGTTATGCAGGAAAACTCTTAGGTTGCTCTTTCTTCTTCCATCATCTTTTATGTGGTGTATTTGAGGTTTCAATTATGTTAGTTCTGCTGTTTCAATGGACATGAGTTTTATCCTGATGAAAAAAGAAAGACCATTTCCTAGCCAATCAAACTTATGTACAATCAGTTAAACAGTAGAGGTTCAATAACATGGTAGCATGTCTTGATTAGCATCATGTAGATTTCCTAAATATCGTGATTGAAGATTTGAAATGACGCACTGCTCTGTATCAGCATCACAATTTTTTTTGTAGTATAATATCTTTGCAAATTTCTCATGGGGAATGGAAAGTACATGAATAAGCCTTTCTGAGAAGAGCATTGCAGATAAAGTTTAAGTGTGACCATCACAGAATGCCACATTTTAGGCATTACCAAACGACATACTTCTATTAACAATGTTTTATTAAAACAATCATGTCTCAACAAAGCGTCAGTCTAATCTCACAGTATTGTGCACAATAGGTTGAATAGCTTGCGCTCTTGTTCGTTACTGTGAGGCACTGTTCACTTGCAAGAAAGCCAACCTATTGAAAATACACTAAAAGTTGAAGAATGAAACTGAGTTACTACAATTATTCCCGCAATTCATGTGTAACACCTACATAGATGCTGAGTTACTACAATTATTCCCGCAATTCATGTGTAACACCTACATAGATGCTGAGTTACTACAATTATTCCCGCAATTCATGTGTAACACCTACATAGATGCTGAGTTACTACAATTATTCCCACGAATCAGAGTCCTCCCACCCCTACCATGCACAGCGCGTAACCCACATACAGAAAAAAAAAATTCAACCATTCAAAAACTGATCCTAAAAAAACATCTAAACAGCCAGATTAAGCCTAGATCCTGTTGTAACGCAGGGCATCGAACTATTTATATATTAAAAAAACCGTATTGTGGTTTTGTTAAACTCAAAAGAAGCCTTAATACTATGAATGACAGAAACCAGATTTAGACAACAACTAGAAACGGAATTAAGCAGAAAAATCAGAATGAAGCTTTAACATATTTCTTCTGTTGTAGTCCACCATATTAAATGGCCCGGCGAAAGTCCTATACATACTAATAGCAAGTTTAATAGTATAACCCACTACTAGCTCTAAATCATCTATAACTAATGTAATAGCCAATTCATATAATAGTTGCTTATTATACTATTATACCTGGTCCCACCTGTCATACACACATTACGTCTTAGAGTCCGTGCTGCAGCTGGCTACAGATCTATGGCCCACTGCTCTTCTGAGCAGGTACAATAGCAGGCTATAAGCCAGCTATAAACATATTTTAAAGAGATAAAGGAAGAGAGATAGAAGAGGCGGGCTATAGATCTGTAGCCAGCTGCAGCACGGACTCCAAGACGTAATGTGTGTATGACAGGTGGGACCAGATATAATAGTATAGTAAGCAACTATTGTATAAATTGGCTATTTACATTGGCTATAGATGATTTGGAGCTAGTAGTGGGCTATACTATTAAACTTACTCTAAGGGTGTGTTTAGTTCACGCTAAAATTGGAAGTTTGGTTGAAATTGGAGCGATGTCACGGAAAAGTTGGAAGTTTGTGTGTGTAGGAAAGTTTTGATGTGATGAAAAAGTTAGAAGTTTGAAGAAAAATTTTGGAACTAAACTCGGCCTAAATTGCAAAATTTTGTGATGACCAGTTCCATGTATTTTAAAAGCTGTCCTTTCACCTCCTACTATCTCGTTTCATCAATCCACAAAACAAATATAGTGCTTAGCATGTAACCACGTACAATCAATAATCTAAGCTAGCCAAAAAGCACTCATCAATGGAAATAACTAGAATCAGTTCAGCAACAAGAGTGTAATTTCGCATAACTTGGAACTACCTACAATGTCGAAACATGAGAGAAATGCCAACAATCATTTATAGCGCAAGCTAATTTAGACGTTTTTGAATCTGAAAACATGGAAAGGAGATATAATCCAAATTACCAGAAGTTCAGTCAGAGCCAGCATCCACCGGAGCAGAGAAGTAGGGCAAGATGGGGTGGCCGTACTGCATTTCATCCTCAGTTGCCAGGTTCTCCAGCTTGCCGGTGTTGAGGTCGTAAGAGAAGATGCCATAGCCTAAGGTGCCAATGAACACCTTCCCGGTGCGGCCGGCGTCGATGTCACGCAGCCACAGATTGAAGTGGCGGAGGAAGCTGTTCTTGGGAATCCATGGCACACCGTCGAGCACCTCCCGTATGCGCACGCGCCTCTCCACCACCCACCCGTTGTCGCTGCCGTCGCCGCTCCCCCGCACGCACAGCAGCAGCTCCTGCCTCTCCACCGAGCCGACGCAGAGCCGCCCGTCCTCCGGCATCTCGCCGATGCGGCACTTGTGCGTGTTCGACGTGCCGTCGAACATCATGGCCGGCACGCGCAGGAAGGAGAACTCCAGCGTGGCCGTGTCGAGGGCGAGCGCGCAGGGGTTGTAGCAGATGTGCCAGTATAGGCTCCCCGCGGCGCGCACGGCAAGGTACTCCAGCCAGTGGGGGTCGAACTCGATGGCGACGCCCCGCGACCGCGGCAGCGCGCGCCAGCGGCACTCGCCGTCGCGGTACGTGGCGACCCAGGCGCGCGGGCGGTCGACGTCGACGGCGACGCAGACGGCCTCGAACCGCAGCCCGCCGTCGGCGGCGTCCGCCTGGCGCGAGAGGAGCGCGGCGCCGAAGATCCTCCCGCCGGCGTACTCGTCCGCCGGCGGCGGCGGGAAGAGCGCGTGGCGGCGGGACACGGGGTCGCAGACGAGGAAGAGGCGGGGGTTGAAGTACTCGCACTTATGGTGGCGGAGGAGGAGGAGGCCGTGGTGGGAGTCGTAGAGCGAGAAGTGGGAGAGGTCGGGAACGAAGTCGAGGGAGAGGCGCGGCGAGGAGGAGGAGGCGGTGAGGGGATGGAAGACGGGGACGGTGAGCTTCTCCATCTCCGGCGGCGCGGTAGCAAGGCTTACCGGAGGGACCACCATTGGTTGGTGGAAGTGGCCGAGGAGGGGAGGGAGGACGGACGCGGAGGAGGAGTGGGAGAGTAGGCGGCGCGAGAGGCGCCGGCAAGCCAGGGCGGCGCCGCGGCTGGCCACCGTCGCCATCATCGCCGGCGGCGGCGGAGGAAGGGTGGGGATTGGAGTATTGCTCTCTTTGGTTTTTGCTGCTCTGCTTTGATTCTCTCCTTTTGCGCGCGATTAGAGGATGGTTTTGTCAGAGTTAGAGCAGAGCAGTGAAGACGGAAGATAGTGGGGAAATAGCTAGGTGCACACAGGACTTGTCACTTTCTATTTGAGGGTTAATTCCGGGTCAATTTCTTTTGGTTTGTCCAGCACTCCAACTGAGGTTCCAATTCAATTTCTGCAAGAGGCAGAACTAGAATATATATTCGGGCATGGCAATTCCAGTTCTTGTTTTGTTGACAAGAATCTACCCATCGAGCACCCAATGCCAAAAAAAAAAGAAAAAAGAATTAGTCAGTCAAATGTTCCAGTTGACCAACGAGTAAAACACCAAGATATATATCACTGTGAGCAGTAGTACCTGGTCAGTCTGAGCGTCCGATAAAATTTTGTATGATCGGTAGACCAATCAGTAGTATTTTCGTGTTTGTTGTCGTGGAATCTTTGAGCATGAAAATGTCTCATTTTTCCTACAAGAAACAAAATGTTACTACAGTTACACTGTATAAAAAATAAAAGAATAAAAATGTGAGCGAGCATATCTGTTTAGATCCTATTGTTAGAACTTCCCATTTACGGTTAATTATTTTTTAAGTGCAAGGGACATAGCTCACATCGAGTTGTTTGTGATTACTCAGAAGGTTTCGCTACTAAAACCGACACGAAAAGCACAGAAAGCCATGTCAAAACGGAGAGTACTTGATAAAGGGGAGGATAAATCATCCTTCTCCCTCTCAAGAGAAAAAATAATAGAAAAAATAATAAGCAAAAGAGTTAGAATAATAAATAGTAGGTCAGGAGCATTACAACCATATTGGAGTACCACCTTTCCTACTAATTTAGTAGAACATAGGTGTTCTAGGCGGTTCATTGGAATTTCCCATCTTTTCTAGCTCTGCTGCTAGAAAGGGCTGAAATTTTCACAATTTGACCCTTTACAAAAACTTTTTTTACAAATGAACCGCTGCCAAAACTTATTTCAAAAATAACTCTTTTGGTCAGCGCCAAATCACCTGGCGCTGAACTTAGACACCTCAGCGCCATGTCAACTGGCACTGAATGCCGTGCCACCGCGGATAGGAGACTAAGTCAGCGTGCCAACACATATTCAGCGCCACGCTATTTGGCGCTGAGGTGTCTAAGTTCAGCACCAAGGGTTATTTTTAAAATAAGTTTTGGTGACGGTTTATTTGTAAAAATAGTTTTTGCAAAGGATCAAATTGTGAAAATTTTTGAAGAAAGGGAGACTTTTTTTTTGTGGCGTGGGTGTTTCCAACTAAAAACAAATTCGAACACGAAATTCCATGACAAAAAAAAAGGTTAGGCCAATAGTGACTTCATCAATTTTCAAATATATCGGCTCAGTTTTTAAATATGCTCATAGATGATAGACGGCAAACGTGTTTATGTGTATATGTAATCGCCCGTGTTAAATAAAAAAGATGCACGGTGCATGCTGATGGACCAATTTAACCGGTCCAAAAGGGTGGACATCCATTTTCTTTTTAGATCGTAGCAATTGGATTATCGCGGGCATGCCTTTTAAACGGCTAAACAGCGTAATTCTTCACAAAGACTTTCTACATGAAAGTTTCTTAAAAATTTCAAGTGAATTCAGTTTTTAAGTTTTTAATAGTTAATATTTAATTAATCACATGCTAATTACAAAGCTTCTCCTTTTCCGAAGACAGTCCTATATTTGGCTGATAAGCTGTCTCTAATCTTATCCCCCTTGATTTCTATGGAAA